CCCCCCCCCTTCATGCCCCGCTATAAGCTCCGTCTGTCTGTAGTCGGTCTGTTGTTGAAGATGAAACGGGATGAGGGAGGGAGCGTCTCATCGCTGTGACCTTCAGCGTTTCAGAAAATGAAGGAGACAGCTGCAGCCATTACAGTAATGCACCGCTGTCTGCATGAAGGCAGCAGCCATCGGCTGTGTTTATATCCCAGCTTCTTTATTCACACAGAAAATTTAAATCACCGCTCATTTAATGTCCTCTGAGCCGAGGCAACAGCTCAGACATCTCCACATTTATCAGGAGGAAAAATGTGGAGATGGCAAAAATATCAGTACAGAAGCATCAACGAACCAATGAAAGGACCTGGACTAACAACAATGTTTCAATGAATGAATGAATGAAATGAAAAGAAGCAAGTTTAAGGCTCTTCCACATTAGTTCAAGTAGATTCTCCGTGAGGGAAAATTTCGTTGATGTAATATATTCATGTGAGATGCGACTTTCCTTCAGCTGATGTTTCAGGTCGAGCGTGCCTCTAACTGTGTTGTGTGTCCTCCCTGCAGTATTCGTCAGCCGGCTGCCCGCTGTCTCTTCACCACAGCGAGAAGCCCGATCACGAGGAGGTGTGCGAGTTCAGGCCGTACACCTGCCCGTGCCCAGGAGCCACCTGCAAGTGGCATGGCTCGCTGGAGGCCGTCATGCCTCACCTCATGCACGCTCACAAGTCCATCACCACGCTGCAGGTCAAGATCGAAACTTTGATTCTACACACACACAGTTTGGGGTAGAAACACGGGGCAAGTGGGAATCTTTGTTTGCAGCCTGTCCTTCTGTTTCTGCACTTTGGGGATTTAACACAATGAATGTTGAGCTGTCCTGTCAGCGTTCCAACCTTTAACCAGTGTAAAGCTTATAGAAAGAGGGAACTTACTATGAACACCACAGGCTGCCCTGCATTCAGTATCAGTGTAACCTCTGAATCAAACAATCGCCGTTTGAAGTAACCGGCAGATTTAACTACTTACCAACTGAACATGCAGAATGTAGTTTGAACATTCTGCTGCCACAATTAGTCGACTAGTCACGATTACGTCGACTATCAAAATCGTCGACGACTGATTTAATAGTCGACGCGTCGTTTGAAGCTTTGTAAGATCGCAAAAGACGCAGGAATAAGTAGTAGGATTTAAGAGTGTAATAACGGACTGAAACAGAAGATGGCAGCACTGCATGTACAAGGATGCCAGCTGCCGTTAAACCCCGAAGAAGAAGAAGCTGTGTCCCAGAATTCATAGCGCAGCCCAGCTCAGTTTCCAACAATGGCGGCAGCTAGTTAGTTTTAATATTACTCTTATTATTCTTTCTGGGTCACAAAATAAACGTTTAACATATTTTCAGGCGAGAATGTAGCTGTGTAAACCTCAAATATCTGCTCAGTTTATCAAGACACCACATATTTTCAAAAGCGCTCCGACGTTTTCGGAGACGTCTGTTACCCACTAGCTCGATAGCTAGCCGGGGGCTAGGCTAACTAGAGCCGTGAGAACACCGGACTCCCGGCAGACCGTCTTTCGCTACTCAGGTTAAACATGATATATAAGTCACTTAGATAACTTAAAAATGTTATTGTTTGGCTTTTTTCAGTATTTTATTTGTTCCTGAGTAAATCGGTTTGGCTGAGATTAAAGTTATAGTTTTTACACAGCTGAATAAACATCAAGCAGACAGCTGATTATCAGAAGTGTGAGATGCTCGAGAATTTACTCCGGTGTCCTGTTATATTTTAGATAGCAAGGAGTTTATTAAACTTCACCGAAACAACCTGCAAACTTCATTAAAATTTAATAAACTATCATCTTGTCTTTATTTTTAGTTAGCACATACCTGAAACACTTAAAGCTGTAAGCTAATGATAGTTATATAAGAGCAGATGCTGCTGGTGCAATAAGCTGTACGTTTTACGTCCAATGGATGATGATCTGATTAGTCGACTATCAAAATAATCGTTTGTGGCAGCCCTAGTTCGAACGCAGCTAGGCGAGATTTCAGGCTGCTGAGACAAACAATGTAAATTATTAAGGAATCCTCAGCAGCGAAACAGAGAAACAACACTGCACTGTGTAGAAACGGGATCACAAAGTGTTCTTAAATCTGACGTTTGTGTAAACGTTTCACCTTTTCTGCTCACGTCTCTGATACCACAGCACTTCCTGCTTCTTCAGCTTTTTTTCCTCGTGATTTCAGGTGTGACGTGTGAAAACGGTGCGAGAGATAAAGTTGATGTTTTCCTAATGGCTACTTGTTTCCGTGCTGCAGGGGGAGGACATCGTTTTCCTGGCAACGGACATCAATCTGCCGGGTGCCGTCGACTGGGTGATGATGCAGTCGTGTTTCAGCCACCACTTCATGCTGGTGCTGGAGAAGCAGGAGAAGTATGAAGGTCACCAGCAGTTCTTTGCTGTCGTGCTGCTCATCGGCACCCGTAAGCAGGCCGAAAACTTCGCCTATCGCCTGGAGCTAAACGGCAACCGGCGCCGGCTCACCTGGGAGGCCACGCCGCGCTCCATCCACGATGGCGTGGCCGCCGCCATCATGAACAGTGACTGCCTGGTCTTTGACACCTCCATCGCCCATCTGTTCGCTGACAATGGTAACCTGGGGATCAACGTCACCATCTCCATGTGCTGACGGAGCCGAGTGGAGCCTCCTGTCGAGGGAGGAGTTAAGGAGGTGCAGAGTGCACCTGCTGACAGCCTCGGTTGGAGTCGTTCGAGGAGTCGGCTCAAAGAGTCAGCAGCTGCCCTTTGACCTCTGTGGTCAGCTAACGATGGACGTGGGGCAGAACGTCGCCTCGAGCCTCCAACTCTCCTCGATGGAGGAACGGTCGGATCTGTTGTTCGACCGCAGCCAGGACGTCTGGCCTGGTTAGAAACTCCCGAGGACTCGGTCCTCATTGGTGGAAACAAACACTTCTCTCTGCCGAAGCAGCTCCCTCTTCCTGCGTCAGGTTAGTCGGCTTCCTGTCAGGCCGGCGTGTTCACAATATTCTGCTCTGCAGTTCTGGTGCTATGACTTCACGTTCTTCACCAGCAGAGGCCAAATAACCACGACTGTTACGACATTCACAGTTAATGGTTCAGGAAATGTTCTGACGTTTGCGTTCACGTCTCATTGTCGTTGTTTTACTGAGATCCTGAACAGTTTGGTTCATTAATAAACGTCAGAGTTCAGCTTCTTTACTGGTTAATGTGCAGATTATTTATTGTTTTGGGTTTTTGTTGAAAGGAAGTGGAGAATGTAAAGATGTTTGCTTTAGTATCACATATAACAAGAAATCATCCAGTGTTTATAGGACAGAGTGCTGATGTTTTGGAAAGTGAGTCTAATCTTGTTGCCAGACCAAAAATATTCAGGAAATATGATTCAAGGTGAATTTGACTTATTACAATAATCTCTGTGCACTGAAGGAGTTATTGGAAACAATCTCCACGTCCATGGAGGTGAGGCGTGTGAAAATGTTTCTGCTGTAAAGTTTTAGTATGAAAGAGGATAAATGTCATTTTAAGACTGCAATTTAAAGCAAAATGAGAAATTAGACACTTTTAATCCGAGGAAAATGTTTGTCTGACTTGTTAGTTTTCTTTGTCACGTGTCAGTAAATTAAAAACTGTCATTCTCATTCTCATTGGCTGTTTCCTCACACTTTTTTAACCTTTTAGCTTATTTGATAAACTCAGTAAAGAAAGGGCAGAGAGAGGAGGGCGGTGGGTCGGGCTCTCAGCTGTGGTTTTAATATGTATAGAAATAATCTGCAGGTTAATCCGTCTGTCGTCATAAAAAACAGCAGATGGTTTGAAAATGAAACAAACTGTGAAAAAGCTCCACAGACCTCGAGTCAGCTGGTGGAAGAAGGAGAAGCAGTTCAGGTAAAGCAGAGTAATGTGAACACCAACATGCTG